TTTTTTTACTGTTCATACTCATGGAGTCACCTGCTACCTGGTCATCCTTCCATTAGCACAGATGAGCCACCTCACCATACTTGTCTCATATTTACTTAAACATACACTGAAACTCAGTAAATAACAGTACACCATGTTTCTGGATTCACTTAGATTTCTTAAAGAGCCTCTGCTAGGGCTGGGGATATAGCTCAGTGGTAGAATACTTGACCAACATGTGCAAGGCCCTGAGGTTGATCCCTAGCACCATTCAAAAATAAAATTAATATTCTTTGCTAATGAATCATTCATTTTAAAAATAAGTATGACTATGAATATATCTAATGCTAGGAGAACAGGGGTAGTTTTTGATTTTGACAGGTTGTGTCAGCTGAAAAGGCAGAAGGATCCATAAATAAACTTTTGGAGAGGTCCATGAAACCCAGAAATTTCATATAAATTTATGCTGTAAGTGCATTTTGGAAGAAAAGGATCTTCAGTTTTAATCACCTTTTTTTTTTTTTTTTGTGATGGGACTAGGGCTTGAACTCAGGACTTTGTGCTTGCAAAGCAGGTGCTGTACTGTTTGAGCCACACTTCTGGTACCTTTTTTGCTCTGGTTATTTTGGAGATGGGGTCTTGTGAACTGTTTGTTTGGACTGGCCTCAAACTGTGATCCTCCCGATCTCAGCCTCCCCAGTAGCTAGAATTATAGGCATGGGCCACTGGTGCCCAACTTTATCTTTGATTCTGAAACATCCTAGAAATACTGATTTGAAAAATCCATGTCATAAGCCAGGTACCAGTGGCTCACACTTATAATTCTAGCTACTCACTCTCTCTCTCTCTCTCTCTATATATATATATATATATATAATACAGAGAGAGAGCTGCTTACTCTATATTATATATTAGCTTATAATTCTAGTTAATTCACTCTAGCTACTCAGGCAGCAGAGATCAAAAGGATTGTGGTTTGAAGTCAGTCTGGGCAAATAGTTCAAGAGATCCTATCTTGGGAAAAAAATCATCAAAAAATACGACTGGTGGAGTGGCTCAAGGTATAAACACTGCATTCAAGCCTCAATACCTGCCCCCTCCCCCCAATTCATGTCATATAGACTCATGAGTCATTGAGGGAAATTTATAGCAACCTATGTTGCATCCTAGTACACTGATCTCAGAAAGAGGAGCTACTGTAGTTTCTCAAGAAGCATTCCTGTCCAGGTGTGGTGTTGCATACCTGTAATCCTAGCACTGGAGGGAGAGGCAGGAAGATTGCAAGTTCAAGGCCAGCCTGGGCTACCATGGCAAGACCCCATCTCCAAAACAAGAAAGCACACCTAGATACCAACTTCAGTGATAGGGTGGAACTAGTGTGACCATTGGGTTGACATTGTATGTCATCTTTGATGTTTCTTCTAAACTAGCCATATCAGTAGTGAAGGACTTCCTGTCTAACAGGGACTGTGCTGTGTATGTCACACTTCCCTTGGCTTTTTTTTTTTTCCTAGGTGGGAGCAGCGAGAGCTACCTAATGGGCGTGTCTATTATGTTGACCACAATACCAAGACTACCACCTGGGAGCGGCCTCTTCCTCCAGGGTAAGCTCTGAACCAACAAGCCTTGAGACTTTAGAATGGGTACCAGGAGTCACCCAAGGGCTTCTCCATCACTCCCTCCTCAGCCATCTCTCTGTTTTACCCTGCTCTCTCTTCCTTCCTCTATTATTTTCCCTTCTTTCCAAGTCTTCTCCTTCTACATTTCTCTTTCTCCTACATGCATCATGTTGGCTCTGGCTGATGGCCGTGGTCTTTATTGAGTGGTATTCAGAGCTGACATGACTGTGGAGTCCTGGAGACAGAAAGATTGGGCAAACCTTCTAAGCCTTGGTGTCTTGATGCCCTCAGTCATGTCACCATAGAGAGATATCCCTATTAAGGCTGGAGGTTCAGTTCCTTTCTTTAGAGGTAGCAGAGATCAGAGACATTTATCTTGGGTCACTTGATTACTTTTCCTATCCTGTTACTTGAATTCTGCTCTCATTTCTTAGGATATCCTAGAATTTTTACAGACTCTCTGGGGAAAAAAGAATGGGGAGGCTGATTAAGAAAGATTATTGATGCATTTCACTGCACAGCCTGACCTGAAAGGCAGAGTGCTCCTAATTCAGCTAGGCTTGGTGAGAACACAGCTGAGTTCTCCAAAACTGAAAGATGACAGAGGCTTCCACAGGAGGGAAGACTGTCCAAGTTTGAGGAGAAGGGATTTGATTCCCTGACTGCCAGGGACAGAACGTTCTTTCCACATGTGTCTCTTGGTCCTGAGAAATTTAAAAGGGAGTGTATTCTCCAGGATAGAGTAACCCTCCCCACTGGAGTAGCCATGAAAGACTCCCACATAAATAGGAATACTTCTTCCTCCTGAGTTTGCAGAGTAAAAGGATGGCAGTGGTGGGGAGCCTTGGGAGAGCCCCTGTAATTTGTTTGGTTTAACTGTCAGGTATGTGTCAGGCAAATACCACCTCATCTCTCAGGCCCTTCAAATTTCCACAGATGGGTTGCTTTTAGCTTCAGTTTCCAGTAGAATTCTTGGGTTTTCCTTTTCTTCCTTACCCACCCGGGAATGGAACTCATCATTTGTCATCATTAGTGCTTACTGTTTCCTACTTTGACTTAAAGTCAAACAAAGTTACCAAAGTTAAATGTTGACTTCTTAATTTAAAAAAAAAAAACAGTTAAGTATTTTATTGTGGAAATAATGGAAATTTTCCACTTTTCAAGTATGTGCACAGTAAAGAGAATAGTATAATGAACTTTCACACACTCAGCACTCAGCTTTGGTAATTATCAACTCCTGGCCAATTTTGTTTCATTTGTACCAGGTTGGTGCACCATAATGACATGTGGGTAAAATCTGGGCTTCTTCCTATTTCTATAAAAGTTTTATTGGAACACAGCCATACTTATCTGCTTATTTTTTTCTTTCTTTTTCTTTTTTTGTGTAGGGCTGGGAGTCAAACTTAGGGACTTGTGCATTCTAGATAAGCGTTCCACCACTGAACTGTACCTCCATCCCTGTTTACTTTTTTTAATGACTGCTGTTGCACTTCAATGGCAGGAATGAGTAATTGTAACAAAGACTGTGTAGCCCTCAAAGCCTAAAAGATCTACTTTATGATCCTTTATAGAAAAAAATTTCCAGTTCCTGATTTGTAACCCTCATCTACCTTTCTCCCACACCCTGATTATTTTGAAGCAAATCCTAAGCAGCATATTATTTATGCATATATCAGTACATATCTAAAAAAAATTCTCATCATATATAAGCCCACAATATCACTAATAGTATTTCCTTCATATTATTAAACATCTAATCAATATTTGAATTTCTCTAGTTGTATCACAAATTAAGCATTGATTTTAACAGTATGTGTTGCACAGTTGTACTTTGTGTATTTATGACATGTATCTGAAAGCAGGAATTCTGTAAACGTGCTATTATTGCTGCTTCTTAGTTCTCTGATCTGTAAGGTACATAGTGAGCTGATGAACATTGGATGGAATTGAAGAAAGGATGAGAGACTATTTTTTTCCTAGAATTTCTAGCAAAAGTCCTGAGATTCTGCGTTATTGCTCTAGCATAGATCACATGTGTACTCCTGGCCTAGTTAATCATTCAGCTTTGGGGTTGGGAACAGTCAGCTTCCACAGAACTGCATGGATTCCACAGAACTGGGTATCAGGAGTTAATGTCAAGGAGGGATTAGTTGCTGCCGAGGCAACCACAAATGCCTGTTGTAATCATCTAACCCCAAAATCCTCAATGATTGGGGACTGCCTAGCTGTGCCTCCATTGCCACAGTTCACACCCTCCCTTGGTCCTTCCTTGCCAGCCATCCTGACATTTTTTAGAATTTGGTCACTATATTAATTTTGAGCTTAATGTTCCTAGCTGGGAAAAACGCACAGACCCCCGAGGGAGGTTTTACTATGTGGATCACAACACCAGGACCACCACCTGGCAGCGCCCAACAGCTGAGTATGTGCGGAACTACGAGCAGTGGCAGTCGCAGCGGAATCAGCTTCAGGGGGCCATGCAGCACTTTAGCCAAAGATTCCTCTACCAGGTGAGAGTGCAGGGGCCTGCCACTAGGAGGGCAGCCTCTCTGCATGTTACAGCGTGCATCCTCACACATCCTTTGTAGACTTGCTTGATGAGCAGGGAAAACAGCAGCCAGAGACATCAGTGATCTCACTCTGGAGATTTTACTCATCACTGTGAAATTCCTCAAGTTCCAGTGTTTCTAACTTGGTAACTCTATGTCCAGCCTTTCTGTTTAGGAAATCAACATATCTGAAACTGACTTCACCATCTTGCTTCCAAGACTGGTTTCCTTTGCTATCTTCTACACTCCAGTCTATTTCCCTGACCTGAAGCCTGACGGTCAGCTCATCCTCACCTTTCCAGATCACAATAGTCACTCAATTTTTCTGTCTATTGCTGCTACAGTTTTTCTTTTGATCTTTAGTATCTGACACATTCTCAACAATAGAGGACCTTTATGGCTTGTCTAGATCAGGACTAGGCAAAGGATAGCCCAGGGACCAAACCAGTCCATCACCTGGTTTTGTAAATAAAGTTTAATTGGAACACAAGCATGCCCCATAGTTTATATGCTGACTATGGCTGCTTTCATGCTATCACCACAGAGTTGAGTACTCACCAGAGACCATATGGCTCATAAGGTTGAAAGAATTTACTTTGTGCTCCTTTATAGTTTGTTGACACCTGGTCCAGATCACCCTCTTTCTGTGTGATACTCAGTTTGCCTCTGCCCCCTCCTATCTGAGTTGTCAGCAGCCTCTGAACCAGTGTCTCTGTTGACTTTCCTTCTCCTCCAGTTCATGCTTCCTCTTTCTGCAGAGCAGTCTTTAGATGTTATCATCATCACATCTTTTTGCTGGTTCAAACCTTCTATGGTCATTACTTGCAGAATGATATTTAAACTTTCTAGTCCAGAATTCAGGGTACTGCAGTCCCAAATTAACTATCTAATGGCTTCCCATACTGTGTTCTGTTAGGAACCCTGCTGGCTCCATCTCCTGCAGTCTCCATCTTATTGGAGCCACCACTAGTGACCTGAAAGTGGGAGGAGCCCAGCTCCATAGGCTCTTTGGCAGGAAGAGCTCTGATTGGGCTTTCTTGAGGCACCTTAAGCATGATGGTTGGAGCCTGGCATCAATACAAGAAGACAGTATATCACAGGCTAGAGGTGTTTTGAGTTGGACCATATATAACTCCACAACCTGTTTCTAAGTTGGATACTATCCTAATTAGATGCCCAGAAAAAAATTTAATTCCATTTAATTAAGTAGCAATCATTTATCATCTTTTTCCTCATTTGTAGCTCTTTCGCTGCTTACCCAAAGCAGGAACTCCATTGTTAACCATAAGTCATGGTAGCTTCTTCTTTGGCTAGTTGTCCCTTCTTCTGTCTCTCCTGTCTCTTCTTTTGTCAGAAAGTGAGGAAACTGTTGAAGACCCCCGCCCCATTTCCTAAGTAGGCATGAGTAGGAAGAGTGTTATTTGTCATATGAAGTTGCCCATCCACAGCCTGTGCCCTGGTGATCTGGTCCAGTCAGTACCATGTATGTCCTTATACCATATTGCCCACTCTTCAACATGCCTAGCGTACAGTTCTGGTAGGCTTAAACATTGGATGGAATCTGTTAATTCTCTACATTTCAGAGTTTGTTCCTCTAGAGCTAGGATCTGAAAACCTGCCATTTTCATGGTTGGTCCTGGCTCCAAAACTGGGAAGATCTGGGACATCTTTCTTCTTTGTCCTATCTGTCCTTTGACTTAGAGGCAAGGAGACAGCTTAGGGGTTTCACATGGCTTGGTCTCCTTGATTATCCAACTTCTGTAATTTAAAAAAATCCATGAAAGGAATCTTTCTTTTTTTTTTTTTTCCTTCTGTACCATACTCTTAAGAAATTTTCTGGGTTGACTGAGATGTTTGGTGTGTGAAAGGGAAGATTCAGAACTTCTGGCCCTCATGTCTGCTTGGTCTTTGTGGAGCATTCTTTCCTCTTGCCTGCATCTCATTTTAGCAACATCATTCCAGCATTATAGATGTAGAATTTGGACTTGGAGGGTTTTTACAAATAAAAATTAAATGCAGAAGTGTTTTTCTTTTTGGTGCTCTAACATTTTTCTCAGCTTAACTGGAGAGAAAGGAGGGCTGTGCATGGAGGTGGGGGGTCACCTTTTCTCTGTGAAACTTGCCTTGTATTGAAAAATGTGGCGGGAATCTTTCTTTGGTCTGTCTCAATATTTCTCTGTTGCTTTTCCTCACCCCTGGATTTGGTTTTCCTTCTTGTTTGCTATGGTGCCATGTCTTGGTTACAAGTAAGAAGGGTTGCTTTCATACAGTTATTTTGGGGTTTGGCCTTGGCCCAGGGTTTGACTAGGAAGACTTAAGAGCTGGTACTGTACTAGTGGCTTCCCCTCCTCCTCTTGCTGAGCTTAAACTGAGACCTTGTTCTTTGCTGCACTGCAGAGAACATGAAGTAGAGTTCAGAATGGGGAGTCAGGGGAATTCAGATTGCAGTCTCATGTCCTTCCTTCCCGCTGTCTACCTCCATGCACACCATTTCCACATTCTCTAGGTTATTGTTCTCTACATTTCTGGTGGGCTTTTCTTTCTTAACTTTGAATTTGCCTTTGTTTCTCTAGCAGTTATTATGTGTACATTTTTGTTTGCTTTGCACTTGCCCTATGTTTGTGTTCCTGCTGTGGTCCACTGAGGATGCCAGCACAGTCTTACATGTTGTGCCATTGTCATTATCCACCATACAATCCACTGTTTATGTAGCACCTCTGTCTATTTTTCCCCCTTGTACTGCCCTACTGAATAAAGGAGGAAACCAAGGTCTGCAGGGCTGACACAATTCATTCTGTGATTTCTAATGTGTACACTCAAAATGGCACTATGCAGAAATAGACTACATGGTTCCTACTTCTTTGAGAGAGCCCTCAGACTGAATTCTCTAGCACCTGGTTTTGTCCTGAGTTGGTTGGGTGCATCCTGAAAAAACGTGATGCCTGCCTTCCCCGTTGCAATCCTTATGCCCTTCCCAGAACCTTTCTTGCCCTCCGCTGTATTTACTAGACATTCTTTATTTCTGAGTTTGTATCTTAAAATAATACTGGGACTTTGTGTTTAGTCCCTAAGGGACTAAACTCACGTGAGCTCTCTGGCTCATGCCTGTACTCCATATCTCCCGAACCCCTGGACATTCTCTGGAAAGTGGTCCAATAGCACAACACTCCTTTGTGTTGTAGCTGTAAAGGACACTATCTTGTCTCTTGAAGTTACCTGCATCTTCTGGGTTTTCTCTTGTGGCCATAAGTCTCCTTGCCCTATCTGTGCATCGAGCTCTGTTTCAAGTGATACACTGGGATCTCTCAAGGCAGTGTGCTGGAAGAGAAGGGGCAGTTGGGCAGTGGGCATGGCTCAAGCAGTGGAGTGCTTGCCTGGTATGTGTGAGGCCCTGGGTTCAAACCCCAATACTGAAAAAAAAAGAGAGAGAGAGAAAAGGCAGTTTGGTTGACTCATTGGAGGCATGGGTTTTGGTTTTCTGGCCATGATATGTAGCATTTTTGTTGTTGTTTCTCCTTGGCTTCTGTTCACTTCCTTCTTTCTGGCTTTTCTGATTTTTTTTAAGTTATACTATCTAAAGAAGATATATCCAAAACAGTAAGGTGCTTCTTTTTAACTATAAGAAGTAAAAATCATGTGAGCATTGGATTCCATGGATTCTGATATCATGTGTTTGTGTTTATCCATCTCTGGTCTCTCCCTTTCCTTTCTGCCTCTTCATTTCTCTCCTTTTTATATGTTGTGGAGGGTGGTGTAAGTTTAAAAGAACTGATAAATATTTTTGTGTCTACTTCAGTGCTATCAGAAGCCTTTGGTCCATTGTAGAGTGATGCAAAAGGTGACTATAAGCTTACTGAAGCTCAGCTAGGAACACTTTGTAGCTGATTTTCCACCAGAACCTGTGGACATTTTAAACAATACTCTTTCCAAAAAGAGACCCAAAATAGCTGATATTTGTCTGGCAAGTATCTCTTCTTTTAATTTCTTAAAATAACCTTTTGCAAAGTCATTGCTATGGCTTAGTACTTACCAACTGCATTCTGTTTGGCTTCATTATCCAAAATGGATGTTTTCATGTTTGCTCTTGCTTCTGTTGCTTAGTGTTTTTATAGTGACTCTTCTTAGGCATTTAACTACAAAGCGAAGAATTTGGATTTATGAGATGCTGCGCTCCATCACCCTTACCACTCCAACACTCAAACACATACCCAGATGACTTGTGAATTGGAGTGGTGTTTATCAGTATTGAGATAAATCTAAATTGTGATGAAGGTTGTACACATATCCTGGAGGTTGGCGGTAATGTGCCTTAATTTGAAGCCAGATTTCCCCAACTTGGTGCATTTGTGTTTCGCGTGGCAAGAGGCCCTCCACTGAAAGGGGCCCTGTTCTATCAAGGAACCTATGGTTACAAGACTTAAACGTCTTTGTTGGAACTTGCTTGGAAGAGGAGACTGTGTTGCCACCTTGGAAAGAAAGTTTCTCTGTCCTTTCTGTTGAGGGTGGAGGGAGAACTGTGAAGGGGGTTTGTTGGCAATCGAGCTCCACCAATGTTTGCTCAAGCCAAGACTGAGCCCCATTCATTCTCCTGCCCGTGTGTGGCTCCATTACCCCCAGATGGGGCCAGCCCTGCAGCCTGAAGTCTGCATTTAGAACTTGATCCCTTAATATGATTATATTTTAGTAAGTGAAATAAAAATGCTTCAGACAAAAAAAAGTGAGAAAGGAGTAGAACAATACTTGTTTTATTTAACTATGAAAAGTTTCTGACAGTACCCTCCTTCCCTGAAGGACATGAGAACTCTCCATCCACTGCAGCCTTTTCCCCAGGGATCTGGAAGCAGAATTAGGCTGTGTGTGTGGGGACTCTAATGTAAACAGTGACCCTGAAGGCCTGGAGTCCCCTTTTCTCTCCCTTCTCCACTTCTCTCTTGCCACCCTGCCCCCATCTCCACCTCCCCAGACAGGCAAACACAGAACACTGAGCAACTTCAGGTTCAGGCAGGGGAAGAATAACGGTGCTTTGTGAAGGGGAAGGAAAACATTCCTGGGGAAGGTGAGGGGCTTGAGGCATGAATGTGCCCTCAGTCTGGGTAGATGCTGCACACCCAGGAGGGAGGTGGAGGGAGGAGGGCCCAGCCCCAGCCAGGAAGCCCTGGGCGTGGGCAGGGCTTGTGGGAATGATTTCATTGGAAAGGCCTGCGTTATTTTTTCCCCTCCCGTGTGTGGTTCTTGGAGAAAGTTAGAGGTGGTGGGGATTTCAGTTAGTTGCCTTGGCTGCTGTGAGCAGGAGCTGAGCAGAGGCCGGCAGCGAGCTGGTTGGGCAGCCCTACTCCCAAGCCCTCCTGCCATGGCTGGGCTCAGCTCCTGCCTCGGCACCCTGGCCCACCTTTTCCTGCACACCTCTTCCTCCCCCTCACTCCACTCTTCTTCAAACCCATTTGGGCTCTGCTCTGTGCAGAGTTCTTTGTGTTTTTTGTTTGTTTGTTTGTTTTTTTAAACAAAGACTTTGAGAGGAGTGGATGCTACTTAAGGTCCCTCTGCACCCTTTACAAAGAGCTGAAATGTGGATGTGAGTTGTTGGCATTTTTATTTTTAATCAGTTTATTTTCAACCAGTTGCTTTTTTTAACCTCTTTGTTCTGCTGTTTCTTGTGTTTAGTCTTCGAGTGCTTCGACTGACCATGATCCCCTGGGCCCCCTCCCTCCTGGCTGGGGTAAGTACTGAGTCCTGTTCTTGCCCTCAGCCTTCTTTGCGTCAGCCACACCACTCTGTCCTCTTCTCCTGTATGTCCTCCTTCCTCACTCCCATCCCTCAGTTTCACATTCTGGTTATCCCCAGCACACCCTCTGGGATGCCCAGCCAGAGCAATGACATGTGATGGGATTGGCAAGTTTGGGGAGTAAACCAGTTCCTCTGCCACTGTGGCACTGGCCAAAGTGTGACCCCAAGGAAAAGGGTGTCCCCAAGTAGCTGTGGGACTGTTAGGTTTTGGTCTTGAGTTTCAGCGTGTCTGCTCAGGAATCCATCCCATCACTAAGGTATTTTGACCCTGTCTGATTTCCAAATGGATTTCGTTCAGATCTGTGAATCTGTGGATAGAAGGAACCATCTTAACTAATGACAGCCAGTGTTTTTTTGGTTTGTTTTTTTTTTTGTGATGCACCTATGAAAGAGGCCACAAGGAAGCAAGAGTTGCACTAGGTAGTGATTCTGAAAGTGGAGCAGTGCTAGTTAATGGTGCCATGCTTGGTCCTCCTTGCAGCTGCTCACCTATTCCAAGTCCTTGGTGTGATTTGCCAAAAATGAGTTACAGATGGACATCCATGATTTAGAGATGATGGGCCTCATGGCTATTCTAGGAAGGAGTAGCTATGAAAAAGGTGTCATTGCAGATGGTGAGACTGGGCACATTCTGCAGCTCTCTGAGCTGGGCAGGGTTTTGTTCAATCCTGCAAGAGTCCCTAAATGCCAAAGGAGACAGTTTTCATGTGAATCAGCAGGTGTTGGGTTTAATTTATTGGTTGGGGCAGTAGAAGACAGTAAGTGCTGGTTTGGTGGTATTCACAGATGGTATTTACTGGGTGAGGTGCACTCCCCCACAGAGAAGAATCCTACTGGGACACTGACAGTGACAGGATGGGCATCTGCCTATAGAAGTGCCGCTATGGGGCTGGAGCCTCTTGATGCAGATGTAGCTGTTCCCTGGTGGTAATTTAAGAGTTTCTGTCAACTCCTCTGGAGCCGCACAGTATCACTTTGTGAGTTACTACTACATTTCAGAGTGCCAGGAGGACCTCTTTCCTAGTAGGAAATATCAGTGAGGCTCTTGTGTATTTATTGATTTTTATCTAGGAAATCCTTGTGTGCGCATATGGCCCATTGGACTCCCTATACCAATGCAACGTCAGTGGTATCTCAAGAATGTGCAGAGGTCAACCTAAGAACTTTACATAGTCAGGGAAAGTGCATCAGGCTACAGGAATCTATAATGCTGTTTGGTAGCTAGTGACCTAGAGATGGGGACCTGGAGTTTGTTTCTTGCTCTGTAGATAAGTGGGGGAGCCTAGTCAAGTGAGTTTGTTTCTGTGGAAGTTTTGCTAAGTGATTATCACTGTAAGAGCTATTGAGACTTGAAAGTAGTTCCCAGGGGATAAGTGGGCATAGAGGAACCATGGTCAGGGTCAATGCTGTTTATGAACAATCAGAAAAAGCCACAAAATGGTAATGTTCCAAAAGTAAGAAAAAGAACATTCTGGCCGAAGGCCAGAGAACCTCCCTAATTTCAATCCTTAGGGCTCTGTGTTGATGGTTCATGGCTATGGTTGGGGCCAGTTCCTCCCCAGGGATGGTAAGAATGGACAGAAAGACCAGCCAAGCCAAAGGAGAATGGCAGTGAACTTGCTGATGTTCCTCTTGCCCCGAGGTTCCAGGTCTCTTTCTGCTACTCTAGGGAGAATTCACAGTTGTCCCCCACACACTTCTCTGGAAGTGTGTTGTCTCCCACACACTTCTCTGGAAGTGTGTTGTCTCCCACACACTTCTCTGGAAGTGTGGACTCCACACTGGAAGTGTGGAGGTGGGACTCCCTGGGTTTAGATCCACATCGGCTCCTGGGCAGCCCTAAAACAGGCAGAACTGAACTCATTGAAGGACTTTCCCAACCACCCTCCTCCACACACACACACTATAAAACTATACGCAGCAAGGCTGTTCAGTGGGTCCAGAGAGGCCTCCATGCAATGGCCGTGCCAGGAATGATGTTTCTAAGGCCTCAGACTAACTGGACAGGACCCCCAGCATAGGTCCCCCCAGCCTGGTGATTGGCTTTGGCTTTGGCCCTTGGTCTGGATTGAGAGTGATCCATCACTTAGGAACCCCTGGGAGGTCTGTCTTCCACAACCAGTCAGGCACATTGGCTGGGTGTGATAACTCTGTAACAGTTTCAACTACTCCTTGTTTTTTTTTCTCCTTTGTCTTTATTTTTATTTCATTTTCCCAGCTTCATTGAGGTATGATTGACAAGTCATGTCTGTGTTCATAAAATTCCAGTCGTGTAATAGCAGGTAAGGCAGAATCAGATACTAAACTGGTTCTAGAAGGACAGGTCTGATTTTCCCAGTTCTGCCCCTTTTTCAGTTTTTAGCTTCTGGAACTGATTATTGTCATTTCTTTATTTTTGTCCTATTGTTGTAAAAGAAGGAGAGCTACTAACATTGTGTATTTCCATGACAAACAGCTTTGAAGGCTTAGGAACTTCTGGGAAAGGTGGCCTTGTATTTGAAGTCTTGCCTCTAGGTTTTCCTGCCACCCACCTGGAGCTGATGGGCTACCCTCTGACCTACCCTCTGGAGCTGAAGCAAGGCTGGTGGGGCGTCTGTGCTGCCCAAAGCTGGATCTAATTATATCCCTTGTCCAGCCAGGCTTCCCCGCTCAGTGCTGCCATGCTACCTTTCCCTCTGATAAGCCAAACAACCACAGAAATTGGAAATGTGTATCTTTCTCCTCTTTCCCACAACAGGAAAAGTCTCTTTGTCCTTTTACCTAGTGACAAGTGTCAGTAAGTGGGCTTTGGTCCCCTAAGTGCTTCTAACAGGTTGGCCATAAGGGTAGAAACTCAGACCCAGCACCCAGGTGGTGGGAGCTGAGGAAAAGGATATTTGAATCTGATTGCTCTCTTTCCTTCTCCCATGGCAGAGAAGAGACAGGACAACGGACGGGTGTATTACGTGAACCACAACACACGCACCACCCAATGGGAGGACCCTCGAACCCAGGGGTGAGAACTTAGGCTGGGAGAGACCTGGCTTGGCTTCTGTGTAACTCCAGCATTGGCCAAGTGGCTTACAGCACTGACCTTTTTGGAGGACCTTCAGCCAACACAAGTGCCCAGAGTTTCTCAAGATAAGGCATAGACCTAGTGAGAGCTTTAGAAGGGTTCCTTAAATAGACATCTTGGCAGATGGAGAGTGGCCACTGGCAGGTACTGATGGTTATCATGCTGACCTCAGGCTGCTTAGAATTTGATTACAAAAAGGTAGAGAGCACCCCTATCCTACCCTACAAGAAGCAGGACTCAGGCACTTGGTGTCTCAGGGCACTAGTGTCTACTCAGGCCAGTGCCATCCACTCAGGGCTGGGATAATAAATGATCTCTTTTGCTCATGACTTGGTTGCTCACTTCTGGTCATACCAGGTGCATGTCTTCATCTCCTCCTCCCCGCAAGGGCTCTGCAGAGCCTAGTGAAAGCAGAGAAGAAGTAGCACTTTGAGGCCTCTGGCCTCCTAAGCAGAGGCCCAGAGGTGGGGACCAGCTCTTATCCACTCTTTTCCTGTGTTTCCAGGATGATCCAGGAACCGGCCTTGCCTCCAGGGTGGGAAATGAAATACACCAGCGAGGGCGTGCGGTACTTTGTGGACCACAATACCCGTACCACCACCTTTAAGGATCCTCGCCCAGGGTTTGAGTCAGGGTAAGGACTTCCATGGGTGACTGTCTATCAGCCCAAACTGTCCTGTTCAGCTAGCTGGTTTAGAGTGGCTGCTTTGCTTCAGGTGGTGGCTGTGGTTGTGTTGCGCTGCTCACTGCCCTCTAGTGGATAATGTTGATGTCACCATGAAGGGATGAGGAGGAAGGGGCAATCCTATTTATTCAGAATAGAATGAGAAATACTTCTCTAAAAGCAAGAGAGCTGGTAATGTTTCTAGTTTTTCTTCTGACTTTTCAAAGCTCTTAGTGGCAGTCACTTCCTTTCTTTTATGCCTTACTTTACATCTTGAAGTTCAAATATTATCACCTTTCCCTAGGACTAACAAAGACAGGTTGTTTGGTTTTTGAGAAATCAAAATACCAGAACATCTTTTGCTCTTGCCAGGGCAAAGCAAGGTTCTCCTGGTGCCTATGATCGCAGTTTCCGGTGGAAGTACCACCAGTTCCGTTTCCTCTGCCACGTGAGTTCTGGTCCAGGTTTCTGTGTAGGTAGGGCTGCTTTCAGCCGGATTTCCTGGCCCAGCACAGCCACTGGAATGTGTGCGTCCTAGGAGGGGACATGATGCTTGTCTCACTCTGAGATAGGTGTCTCTAGAAAGCTAGCTTCCACTCCCTGGGGGGAAGGGTTGGATGGAGATGCCTGTTCATGCAGACAGGAGATCACATTGAGCAGATAAACTGCGAGGCCCCAGTTTGAGGTTTTGTCTTTTCTTTTCAGTCAAACGCCCTACCCAGCCATGTGAAGATCAGCGTTTCCAGGCAGACACTATTTGAGGATTCTTTCCAACAGGTTAGAGAATAATCATATGACAAGATCCAAGGCATGCAAGATCCTCCTTCCACGATTCCATCCTCTGTCACAAGGCCTGTCAAACCCACACTGTGGAGTTTTCAAGGCATAAGCCTTGGTGACTGTGTGCTGGGCAGTAGGCCTTAGAGTTCCCTGCCCTGCCCTCTACTGTGTTGGGTCAGTGGCAGGCTGGCTAGATACCTTGTCTCCCCAGATCATGAATATGAAACCCTATGACTTGCGCCGCCGGCTGTACATCATCATGCGTGGCGAGGAGGGCCTGGACTATGGTGGCATTGCCAGGTGAGCTCGGGCACTCTGAGGGCTGTGCTGAACTGCACTTCTGGCTGCAGGGGAAGGAACTGGAAAGCTGCCTGCTCCTTGCTCACATTAATTTTCAAAGCTCTCCTGCTTCTTCAGGAGGACCACAGGGGTGACGTTCAGAATGTTTAACCTCTCTGGCCAGTCCCAGTGGTCACTGGAACAGGGTTGAGCACCAACCCTTTAGTTAGTGGGCCATGGGGAGGCTAAGGGCTCCTGGGGAGGGGCTCAGGTCAGGGCTCTGTGCAAGCCCGCATGCCATAATTTCTATACTTTAGCAACCATCCAGCTGCATCATTGAGCAGGAACAGAGTATTGGAGCTCCTTGGGTATCCCTTAAAATAGACCCTAGGCTTCCCTTTCCTCTTGAGGTAGCCAGAACAGGTAAAATCAGGGGTTGTAGAGTATACCTGATATGTATAAGCTGTGCTGTGATCAAGAGAGCCCTGATGGTACTGGAAGTGTGGCTCAAGTGGTAGAGCACTTGCCTAGCAAGCATGAGACCCTGAATTCAATCCCCAGTGCCACATAAATTAAAAAAAAAATTCCTGCTTCGTACTCAGCTACATGTCATGTGCATGGCTGATGTAACCCTAAAAGGAGCCCAGAGCACTATCTTGTCCTCACCCTGATCCATCCCAAAAGTTAACAGGCTGTTTGAGAAAGCACTGTCTTGGACGATAGACAGAAGGGCCCTGACAGAAAGAAGGAGCATATTGGCCGTGGTGACCTCTTAGTTCGCTGACCTTGTGGTGTGGAAATGTCTTCTCGCTTGGTGTTGGGTTTAACCTGCTTCTGGTTCTGTTTGCTGGTGGTGTTGCCTTCTGCATTGTCCCCCATGAATAGATTGTTCTTTTTTCCGTGGTGACCTCCTCTCCAGGCTCTGCTTGGTGGGCTTCTGGTGTGGCTCCACCCTGTGTGTCTCTCTCAGTGTCCTGCCAGTGGTTTTACCCTATGGTAGGTTACGTCATGCTGTTCTACCACAGGGTAGAACCACGGACAGGATACCGGGGCACCCTCTGCATCGAAGGACTCCGTCTACTCAGCCACAAATAGCCCAGCAGACAGGGACCTGTCCCCCGAGGACAGTCCTCTGCCAGATTAGCTCAAGCCCAAAAGGACTTTGAATTCTGGCTTGAGGCTTGTATCCAGGGCACAAATAGATGCTAAGGTGTGGGTATTGGTTCAGATGAATGTGTGGGCATGTGGGAAAGGGGATGGTGATGGGGTCTGGGGTGAGGGAGGGCAATGTGTAAGTGAAGTGAGATATCTGTGGTACAACTGGTGGGAGTAAGGTTTATAATCTGGAGGCAGTGTGGGCTGTAGTTTTTATAGTTCCAGTATTGGGAGCATGTTACCTTACACTCATGTAATGCTGCCTACTCAAGTAGGGTGGAAGCAGAATGGTTGCTATCATAGAGGACCTTTGAAGAAATATTGTTATAAAAAATGTGCAAATCTATAATCTTAAACATAGTAAGTATACTTGTACTATGTGCACAGCCTACATACATTATGTGTACATGGTAGCCTAGGGTGCTAGGAGCCCCTTTGCCATTATAAGCTCCGCATAGTGTGATAGAAAGTCCTAAAATGCAGCACTGGGAGCTGACAGGCAGACACACAGGTTTTCCTGAGCAATCTCCTCAAGTACCATTGTCCTGGTTTGCCCTAGGACTGAACCAAGTTGGCTCACTGACCAGATATTAATACAGGTTAACCTGGACCCTGATCCTAGTAGACTGGACTCCTGGCACATGTGTCTCCAGATTGCCTGAAACACATGGCAGTCACAACTGCTGCACAGGTGTGCAGAAGGATCCATTGTTCTTGTTTTCTCTCTTCCCTCACAGAGAATGGTTTTTCCTTCTGTCCCATGAGGTGCTCAACCCTATGTACTGTTTATTTGAATACGCTGGCAAGAACAATTACTGCCTGCAGATCAATCCTGCCTCCTCCATCAATCCTGACCACCTTACCTACTTCCGCTTTATTGGCAGATTCATCGCTATGGTAAGGGGGACCTGGGGGATGCCCTAGTCCCAGAAGTGGTCCCTCCTCCCCTTCCTCCTCCTCCTGGGGCACTTGGGGAACCTACTCTTCTGCACAGACCTCCAGGCAGCACCCGAGGAAGCCAGCTTCTGTGTACCAGGGGGCAGCCCTGGCATGAACAGCAACCCCTAAGGACCAGCACTTGATCTGTGGGTTTCTCCTGTCTTCCTAACAGAATCCCTAACCTGAAAATGCAAAAAGCTAGAGACGGCTCTGGAGAAACCAGAGCTTTCTAAGTGGTCCCCTGGGGAAATTGAAGGGTTTCTCATGTGATTGTGTAGGACTTGTCAAGGAGAAGCTCAGGTTCCTTGTACAGCAGTCTTCACTTAATGGTAAATGTGCACCCTGTGGAGGTATAGAGATGGTGGCCAAACAGTAAACCCATACTACCTGCTTAACTGTCTGTCTCTGAGAGGTACCACTGTCTGTCATGAGCCACAAGTGGAAGGAGTGTTCAGAAATGTCTGGCTGATACACTGGGCCTCTGAAAGGGGATTTGGAACCTTAATACTGAACCCTGGTAGACTGACTGGTGCAAGGTTAGGGAAGGCTCTTGGTCTCTGAATTTACCTAGAAATAGTGACCTATTGTCACTGTGGAAAGGGGGTCATGCCACATCTCCCATGTTGTCTTGTGAGAGTGAGGATCCAGCATTGAGCAGGGGGAGCCTGTGGGAGCCACAGTTCTGCCATGGTGGATAGTTTGAGATAATTTAGTGCTGACTTTTCTTTGCTTTCCAAGTGTTCTCACTCTCCTCCCAAGAGGACCAAGGGCTCTAAGAGTCTGTGACTAAATATGGCCCTTCCCATTATCTGGAAACTCTTGGCCAAGGTTCTGGGCTCTGGAATTGGTCACATTATTCCCAGTTCCAGAGACCCGCCTATCCCAGCCGCCAGGACAGACCAGTGAAACCCTAGACTATTACTCACCACTGGCCGCCAGCTCTCACCGTCCACAGTATTTGCGTTATTTTTGGCTGCTTGTGCCACCCGCTGTGAGTGCCAGTGAGTCAGTCCTGTACTGGACCAGGAGTAGCCTGGCTGGCATGCTGGTCAGGCAGTGAGCCAGCTCTACCTGTCTCTGTGGCAGGGTGAGAGTATGTCCCAAGGCCCAGAGTAGTGATTACTTCCTAGACCCTCCCTTTGGCCCCTGAGGCAGCTGGCAGCTCAGGTTCTATCAAGAAGGGAAGGCAAGTGGCAGCAGCAGCCTTTGATTGGGAGCATCCAGTAGTCTGCCTGAGGGAACTGTCTGGGAAGGCCAAAGCCCTTTGCTATGCTCTTCCCTCTTCAGGCTCTATACCATGGAAAGTTCATCGACACGGGCTTCACCCTTCCTTTCTATAAGCGGATGCTCAACAAGAGACCAACCTTGAAAGACCTGGAGTCCATTGACCCTGAATTCTACAACTCTATTGTCTGGATCAAGTGAGTCCCATGCTTGTCCTGTGCTGAGAGAAGGCAGGGCTCTGGTTGGAAACTTGGCCCCCTCAGTTTTGGTTTCCTCTGCCAGAGAGGCAGGCCCCTAAGAACTTACCTGGTGTCTCTAAGTGCATGTGGAAAGAAGTGGCTTCTAGGCCCCTGCAGTACAGTTCTAGAGTTCTTTTCCTGCATCAGGAGAGATGAAGAAGATTCTAGGTCACCTGTGAGTCCTTGATGTCTCATGGGTGTTTTAGTAAGAAGTAGGGCAGGACCGAGGGGAGATCCTGCCAAGATGAACATCTTCCTCCTTGGCCTCCTGTGCCCCAGAGAGAACAACCTAGAAGAGTGTGGCCTGGAGCTGTTCTTCATCCAGGACATGGAGATCCTGGGCAAAGTGACAACCCATGAGCTGAAGGAAGGTGGCGAGAGCATCCGAGTCACAGAGGAGAACAAGGAAGAATACATCATGTAAGCCTCAGGCTCCAAAGAGGGCCCAAAGGAGAAGGGGACTTGTGGCTCACAGAGATAGGGTTTGTACTGTCGTCTCTGGGGGGCCCTCTTTGGCCAGGTCTCCATGGATTTCCTTCCAGTTACATCCACCTTGGCTGGTAGCCTATGGCTGGTCAGGTAATGACATGAGTAAGGGGATCGAGAGCCCTGGATCCTTGTTTCTAGCTTCTGGCTGAGGGAATTTCCTTGAAGAGTCCTAAAAGTTAGATCTTGCTATATCTCTTCTGACAGAGAGAATTTCTGTGTCCTGCTTGCTTAAATGCATTGACTCTTGGGTGCTGGTGTGCAAGCTTCCACACATTTTCTTTAGGCCTTTTGGTCTTGTCCTTTATCCCCACACTGCTGCACATTTGAGGTTCAGCAAGTGACAGTGAGAAGAGGAGGTGGTGTGGGAATGGGAGCTATCTTTGGAAGGTTTTCAGGCTGGAGGTTTTCAGCCCACCAGTTAAGGTGTGACTGAGCATGACTCAGTGGATTTGTTGCTGCTTTGTCATAATGGCTACACTGGGAGCTCAGCTGAATAGGGTGTCTTGGGCTCTACCAGTGGCCGGTCTTTGGTTCTAGGCTGCTAACTGACTGGCGTTTCACACGAGGCGTGGAAGAGCAGACCAGAGCCTTCCTGGATGGCTTCAATGAGGTAGCCCCACTGGAGTGGTTACGCTACTTTGATGAGAAAGAGCTGGAGGTGAGTGTCGAAGGTGATTGTGACCCTAAGCCCTTGCTTCTGGGGTGCTCCTGCTCCTTGACATCCCCCTGTGCACCCACAGAAACTCATCAGCCAAACCCCACCCTTTAGTAGCTGGAGGCCGCAGAGCGAGTGCTTGTAATGGGAGTCCTCATCCTCCACCTCCTCAGGCACTGTGTCAAGAGCAGGGACTCATGTTACCCATATCATTACAATTGCCAGAAAAAGAGGCTGATCAAAGAGGTTTGGGATGGTTTCACTTCTAGTGAGTGGATGAGGCATAGTGTAGCCTGAGGCCGTGTTTCTGGAGAGGGGCTGGCACTGGGATCATTCATGCTGGAGTTGCTGATGCCTCCCTCCCTGCAGCTGATGCTGTGTGGCATGCAGGAGATAGACATGAGTGATTGGCAGAAGAACACCATCTACCGGCATTATACCAAGAACAGCAAGCAGATCCAGTGGTTCTGGCAGGTGGGTCCTGGGTCTTATCCCTCTGGGCTGGGGACAAGGTCTTGGTAGTGACATTTTAGTAGTTATCCAAAGGAAATGGGATCTAATTAGACCTCAGACTTAAGGACCCTTCATTTTTGACACTCTCCTCACTTCCCTCAGCTTTCAGAGGAGAGGATAAGCCCAGACCTAGACAGAAAAGAGCTATTGTGACTGGACTGTGGTCAGTGTGTGTGACAGGAGGTTGTCAGTGGTCAGCCTGGGGCCAGCTGTTGGGAGTCATGGGGCTTGCAGACAGGAAGTACACTGCCATTGGTGTGTGGTTTCCTCCAGCCTGATGAGTTGGGATGGCAGGTACTTGGTACCAGAATAATGGAGTGAGCATTTTGGATTTAATGACTTGATTCTTTTATGTACGTGGGTATTGTTGTTATGAAGTACAGTACACATAGAAAAAGAATAAATATAGCAGATGTCCTTACCATGTGTGTATATTTGTATACATCCTTTTGTGGAGGTGAAAGTCACATAACATGGAATTCACTTATTTAAATATTTAAGATCCACAATGGATCTGGACTGGTGGGAATGTTCTGTGAATAAAACCTCTTTTTTTTTTGGCACCTTTGAGGTTTCTTGGGTTGGAGCCCAGTGGGCTCCTCCTGGCCTGGGGAGTTCCATGTTAAAGTAAAGCACCTGGCCGAGTGGGTCCCTTGACTATACCTTGACTTGTGGAATCCAGGTGGTGAAGGAGATGGACAATGAGAAAAGGATCCGGCTCCTGCAGTTTGTTACTGGAACCTGCCGCCTGCCTGTTGGGGGATTTGCTGAACTCATTGGTAGGTTTTCCTTTCTCTTGCTGGTGCTCTGGCTGAGGGTGAGGGCAGCTGGAAGAGAAGTGAGAGCTCATGTCTTCCTGAAAGCAAGTTAATGGAAGGGAAAGAGCTGTGTCCACTGTGGGTGGCACCAGAGGGTTGTGCTTTGGGAAAGACCATTTCTCTTGACAGAAGATGCATTTTTACCTTGAATAACAGGAAGCAATGGCCCACAGAAGTTCTGCATTGACAAGGTTGGCAAGGAAACCTGGCTGCCCAGAAGCCACACCTGGTGAGCCTGTTGATTTGGGTAGTGGGTTGTAGAGCCTCATGGACTCAGTGAGCTCCTCATAGTCCAGTGGAAAGGGCAGCTTTGGGGCCTCAACTCTGAAATGGACAATGTTTTCAGGGCTGAGGGTGTTGGGTTGGAGAAGTGGGACTCTACATGTCTGCCTCTGTCTTGGGTCTCTGCCCTACCCAGTACTAGATATCGAAACATTTCCATTCTAGTAGGCAAAGAGTTGCTGCCCCAAGTGCACACACTGCCCTCTCCTCCCATTTTCCTGCTATCCTCTTCCATCTGCTGACCCCCTCAGGGAGTTAGTCCAGGGCTTAAAGCACTGAGGCCTGACACGGTAGCCCCCTAGCACCCTGCCTTAGCATCTGGCTAGCCAGGTGCCTGGTGTGGTCTCTTTGGCCTCCCCTGCAGCCAGCCAGGAACCCTGGCCTCCTGATGCCCACTGTTCTCTCTCCTCTTGACAGTTTCAACCGTCTGGATCTTCCACCCTACAAGAGCTACGAACAACTGAAAGAAAAGCTGCTATATGCCATTGAGGAGACTGAGGGCTTTGGACAGGAATAACAAGACTGCCCCTCCCATGTCCCTCAGCACACATATAGTCCTGAGTTGTCCTTGCCTGAGAGGCCATTGGCAATGCAGCCCTTAGGAGGCCCCCATGGATTGAGGCCCTGTGTAGGACCACACTGTCATCATGCTGGTGATGGAAGAGCCTGACCCCAGGAGATTCTGTAGCCCTCCCTGCTACCTGCTGGTGGCAGTCTGGAATAAAGCCCCTAGTCACCCATGACCCCATCACCCATTGCAAAGTCTGAGGGCTGACCCTTTCTGCAGAACTCCTCCCCCAGCCCTAGGCCCAAACCCAGGTGTGTGTGAGCGTGTGAGGGAGTGGGCCCGCCCCCAGGCTGCATTAGAAACTGGATCTCATGGGCTAGTTAGATGAGGAGATCAGACTCTGCGATGGCTGTCCTGGGCTGAGAAATCTAAGGGTCTTTGCCAGCAAAGGAAGTTCTGCTTAACTAGAATTTCCAGGAGTCTGTCTGACATGCAGGTCTGAGGGAGAGACTGCATTGAGGATGATTTAGCTTTAGCCACAGAGACTGAGCAGCAGGGACTTGGTGCTGCCAGCTTGTCCCTTCCTGGTACACAAAGGGTAGGACAAGCTGCCCACCATGTATCAGTGGGAGGGAAACAGCAAACTCCATCAGACTTTTTCCTTTTACATAAACTTGAAGTGTTTGTGTATAGGGTTGCTTTCTGTTTTGTTTTTGGTATGCTGCTGTCCCTGTCAAGATGCTGTTGCCCCAGGTGTTCTGGGGCCTTTAGGGGCCCAGCCTCATTGGTTCAGAGTTTCGCAAACAGCCAGTCCTCTCTGGAACCTGCTAGCAGTTCTGTGAGCTCAGCAGGCCTAACCTGGCAGCTTGGCTGCACAGTGGCCAAGGCCCTGAGCTTGACACAAGAAGGGGTGGTGTTCCAGTGCTGCTGCCAACCTTGCGCCTTCAATAGAGGAGACAGTCCTTTGCTACGTGCAGTTACCCAGGTGGCCCCAGTGAGTGGCAGGTGGGCCTGACAGTCCCTCTCTGGCAGCCCTTAGGGCTCCAGGTGGCTGTTAGTCCTCTGCTTTGAATGGAACACATCCTGCTCTTCCTGAAAGTGTGCTTGTGCTGTGTAGATGTGAGGCTTATTTGCACATGGGAAATGATGCCACTGAAAACCAGCTGAAGGCCCTGAGCTGCTGCAATGGCCTGGTATGATTTTTCCACTGGCCTCTTACACGGGGATTTTGCCTTTGATTGAGATCTTCCAGGTACATAGGCTCCTTTGGGATGCTCCTTATTCCAGGCTGCCCAGGGCTGTAGGGCCAGGCCCTATGCAGACTTGCTTCCTGAGCCCCAGGCAGGCTCTCAGACCAATCACAGGAGACTTCCAAGGACAGTGTCGCTTCTACGTCTTGTCTTTCCCTCTGCTGTGGAGGTATAGGCCAGCCTGCGTCCTCCCATGGTGCAGTGCTGATGATTTGAGTGGCTCAGCTCACTGCAGCTCAACCCTTTTTCTTCCTTTCGGTCACTTGCTGTACTTCCCTGCACATGTCACCACAAAGGCTGCTCCAGTGGATGGGGAGGGTGCAAGGTGCCAGCAAGGTTTGGAAGCCCCAGGGTATTCATGTATGTTTGTGTGTGCGTGATGCATATGTGTATATAACTGAAGTGTCTGTATGGAATGCCCTGTGGTAGCACTGGGTTGGTCAACGGAATGTTTTATAATGCCCACCCCTGCCTTGGTATTGCCAGTTTCTTGTGCAATAAACAATCAGCAGTTGTGTGTGGTATGAGTGTAACTGTCTACAGACTCACTGTCCTCCAGGCGAGACAGAGTGGAAATACCCTGGCCTTGTTGCTTTTGAGAAGTACATGTGCCCTTAACCGAGGTAGCCACACTTCTGGGCGGGTGGTGAATCCTTGTCCAGGGACACATTCAGGCAGTTCAGGTAGTTGCTGTAGGAGCAGAAAAGCTGCTGATTTTTTTGGGTGGGCTTTGGAAGCCAACTCGGCAGGCCCCTTTTCTCATTCAAGAAGTACACCCGGAAGTTGTAAGAGTCCCCTGACAATTGACAGACTCCAGATGTTGAGCTCATGGTCACATACAGGCTTGGCACCCTTTGTTATTTTTAACAGTTAAGGGTTCAAAGATGTGGCACTGAGGAGTCTTGATGCATTTGACATGGAAACTACTTTTTCATGACCAAGCCAGGCCTAGATTGTGCCTCTTTTCTGGGGTGTATGGATCTCCAGAGTGGGTTCCCTTCCTGGAATTCATCTGCTGGATTCACTCCAGCTGGACCCAAAACCTTTTTTTTTTCTTTATTCCATTTATTTGTTTTGGTGCTGATGATTAAATCCAGGCCTTTGTGTGTGGTAAGCACGTCTGTACCACCAAGTTACACATCTAGCCCTTCCAAACTGTTTTTTACATTTGATAGGAGCAATGCCATATTTTGACAAAATTATAGAAGAAATCCATGTTGTACAAATGAGACGAGCAGTAGAACTTGTTCTCCCCACTTTGTCCCAGAGGTAACAGTTGACTGTGGTTCTTCCAGACTATTTTGTGTTCATGTGCAAATTGTATATACATGTAATTTTTAAACATTCTGGAAATGGGATGTTATACATCTTGAACAACTTCTTTTATCAAATGAGACCGTTAGGGACACCTTTCCATGCTGGGCAGTATAGATCTGCTTCCTTCCTTCACTGCTGTGTGACATCCTTGTCGTGGTTGCTCTACAGTGTACCCATTACCTTCCTAGGCACGTGAAGACTGTGTCCAGTTTGCTGGAACCTGCATGACTTTAGAAGGTATGCTCTGCATAAGTAGTCCATTTTTTCCACATCCTTGCCAACATTTACAATTTTTTTTTTTTTGTAGAAGCTATCCTAATGGGTGTAAGTGGTATTTCGTTGTAGTTTTGATTTGCATTTCTCTAATGATTAGTGATGTCAAGCATCTTTTCATGTGCTTATTAACCATTTGTATAAGGCCAATTTAAGTCCTTCTTGATAATTTGCTTTCTTTTTGATGCTTTTTGTCCTTTTCAATTTTACTGTTGTCACTCCTCTGGGTATCTTTTTTCTTTTTCTTTTTCTTTTTTTTTTTAAAGCAGTCCTGGTGTTTGAACTCAGGGACTTGGGCTTGCTAGGCAGGTGCTCTGCCACTTGAGCCATACCTCCAGCCCTTTTTGGTTTTAGTTAAATTTCAGATAGGTTCTGACTTTTGGCCCATGATCTTCCTATCTCTACCTCCTAGGTGTGAGCTGCCATGGCCAGTTTTTTTTTGAGATAGGGTCTTGCTAACTTTTTTTCTTTTTTTTTGACCTGGGCTGGCTTCAACCTGCAGTCCTCCTATCTCTTACCTTTGAAGTAGCTGGGATTACAGGCATGAGCCACTACTTCCAACCCTCTGGGTATTTTTGATGATCTATAACATACTCTATTCCCAACTTTAGTTCTTTTTCTACTGGCAAACCCTGGATCTTTTTGGTATTAAATTTTTTTTTCCTCAAAACACCATAGTGAATTCATACTTGATCAGTTTCTCTGTTCCAAATATAAGAAAGACACACAAAATATAAGGGGAAAAAAAGGTTAGTTCAAAAACAAGATAACTGATTCTGTGGGTCAGAAACAACCAGAGTGCAAACTGTTGAGCAAGAGAGTAAGCTGCTGCATTGGAGCTTGGCAGTGATGGTTGACAGTTGACTGTTGTGGGGTGAGGGGGTCTGAATGAGCTCCAGCACAGACAGGAGATGGGGCCAGCTCACTCTTCTCCCATGTCACAAAAGCAGTCCAACCAGCAAAGGCAAAGTGCTGTTGCTGGCCTTGAGAATGGGTGGGAGAGGGTGCTCACCAAGCTAAACCATTCCACTGGTTCTGCACTGGCCTAGGCTACCCTAGGCCAGGGTCCCAGGCTGCAATTGGAAGATCCAGGGTGTGTATGCCCAGGAGAGGAGGAGGCAGCTGCAAACCCCTAAGACAGAAAGGAACAGGAGAGGGATGGAAGGAACAACTCCTTGCAATTTTTGGCTCTCCATATTTCAGAGGAAGACACACATGGGGCATTTCTTACCTACTGATCCTTGGCATAGAGCATTAGGATAGAAAGTGGGCCTGTTTACTGAGGCTCTAAATGTTCAGGGGTCTGTTCTTGAAGGTGGCCAGGCACTTTAGAAATAGAACGCTATGCTTTGAATCTGCCCTCTACAGTTCATATGTTGGAAACTTAATTTCCAGATTCATGAGTCATAGTACTGGGAGGTGGGGTCTTGGGAGGTAATTGGGATTAGATGAGGTTAAGAGGAGTAGAGAGTGCCCTCATGGTGGCATCAATGGCTTTACAAGGACAGAAAGACTCAAGCTAACACACTTTCTCTATTTCATCATGGGATGCTCTCTATTGTGTTATGTGACAAGAAGGCTCTCACCAAATACTAAGAAGATGCCAGCACAATGCTTTTGAACTTCCCAACCTCCAAAACCACTAGCCAAATAAACTTCTATTTATAAATTACCGGTCTATGGTATTTATATTATAGCAACAGAAAATGGACTAAGACAAAGAGATCCTGTGCTCTACCATGGAAGGGGGAGGATATATCTGAGCCAGGGTACACCTGCTTGTGGGCTTCCCGAGAACAAGTGCAGGAGGGTCCCCCAAATCTCAGAATCCATACCACTAGGTTTTACTTTCTCCCACTTTTCCAACTTGCACCTTCCCCCAACCTGTGCTTTGAGTTAGGTCACTTGTGGCTAGGAGTGGTCTGATTCAGTACAGAAACTTGTAGCTACTCTTTTTCAGCTCTGCCTCACTCCGGTTCCTGCTGCCTTCGAGTACCGAGTCTCCTGGGGGCTCTGCAGGACTGGGGCTCATTTCCTGTGGGCAGCTTCCTTTGCAGTGTCTTAGGTGGGTACAAACTTGCCTGGCAATTACACTTCTCCACCTGGTTTCCACCAGCATCAAATGATGCTAAACGTGCTTGTCCACCATGGAGTCCAATGTTCTGTTTGCCCTTGTGGAGTAAGGCTTTTTAACTTTCTTCACTTCCTTTTATCTGGGCTGTAAAAGTGGTTAATTGCTAGTTCAGTTAACTTTCTTTGTTACATTTGCCTGGGGACGGACAGCAGGCAGCTAACGCCTGAAGAGGGCTTTGCTATTTTATTATTTTATTGTGTTGCCTTTCATCTAATCTATCTGCTACTAACTCACCTTTCTGTAATCTTCAACCTTTCAAGTTCTGTGGGATTCACCAGAACCTTCCTGGAGTGGGCTCCTTGCCCCTCCATTCTTGGCCAGAGTTCCCTCAATCTGTTTTATACCCCTCTGAAGTATGTTGAATTCTCTTGTCTGTCCCAGAGATGCTACTGCTCAGTTTGGGCCAAATGGCACCCACCACATTTTGATGGAGTCTTGGGAGAAAGGAAAGAGAAATACATGCCAGAATTGAGCTTTTGTAAGCTGGAGGTGTGGCTCAGTTGGTAAAGTGCCTCCCTAGCAAGCATGAAGCCCTCAGTTCAAACTCTGGTAATGCCAAAAAAAAAAAAAAAAAAGGAATTGCGTTTTTGTTAATCACCCAAGATGACCATTGCACCCTACCTCTCTAGGAGTACTGTCTGGGTTGTTATGCTGAGGATGGTGATGGTTATAGTGGAGGGGAAGTGAGGGAGGCGATGAGGAGACGGGCTTGCTTTTTTTTTTTTTTACTCTCCAAAGACATAGTGATAATGGGGAGTCAGTCCTGCTTATATACAAGAGGATATTTTCTCTGTTTCTTATAGTGTTATCCTCATTTCAAAACATTAATTAGACACCAAAGTAAACAAAACCCCACTGTAGGTGAGAGGGGTAATAAGAAAGTAACGGGGGAATTTGATCAAATTATATTATGCATGTATGAAAATATCACAATGAAACCCTTTTGTAAATTAATATATGCTAACAAATAATACTGTAGTCTATTGCTTTTTACCCTGGTGAATTTTGATTCCTACCTGAGGTAGGTGGACCTTTTAGTTGGCCCCCAGTGATCCCTTCCTGGTGGTCAGCCATGTGTAGTAACACCCTCTCCTTGAATGTGGACTAGTTTGGTTTCTGTTTCTAACTAGTAGAATATGGCAACTATTGTTATGGGATGTCACTTCTGTGATTAAATTGCAAAGGATTGTACCTGCTACTTGCCAGGTGACTCGCTATTACCTTCTTGGATGTACACTTTGATGAGTCAAGTTGCCATATTAGAGAGGCCTTCATGTCAGCAGCAGCAAGGAACTGAAGCCCTCAGCCCAACAGCCCATGAGGACTTGAATCCTGCCAACAGCCATGAGCTGGGAACCAGATTCTTTCCTCATTGAGCCTAAAGGTGTCTATAACCTAGGGGAAATCTCACTCGCAGCTTGTGATCCCCAAGCAAAGGAGCCAGGTAAGCTGGGCTTGGGCTCCTGATCCACAGAAACTGGGAGATAATGTGGTTTTAAGCTGCTAAATTTTATAATTTGTTGTGCAACCATAGGTAATACACCATCCTCAATCAGATTAAATATTCTTAGATTTACCATCTTTTCTATTTCCTGGTTCCTGAATGTGGTTGAGATTTTTTTGAGACAGTCTTGCTGTGTAGCCCAGGCCGGCTTTGAACTCACTGTGTAGCCTAGGCTGGTCTGGAACTTTTTCTTTTTATTTTGGTGGTGCTGGGGTTTGAACTTAGGGCCTCACACTTGGTAGGCAGGCCAGGTACCATTACCACTTGAGCTCTTCCATCAGCTCTTTATTTTTATGATTTTTTTTTTTTGAGATAGGGTCTTATGGATTACTTGCCTGGGGCTAGCTTTGAACCTCAGTCCTCCTGATCTAGGAGTGATCCTGAGTAAGTAGGATTACAGGCGTGAGTCACTGGCACCTGCCAAAGATTTATTTATTTTTTTTTCAGTACTAGGGTTTGAGCTCAGCGCTTCACATTTGCTAGGCAGGCACTCTACGAGTTAAGCCGCTCTGCCTGCCCTTGGTCTGAAACTCCTGATCTTCCTGTTTCAGCCTACTTCCCACCACCATGCCCA